GGTGACAAAAGCACGACAGGAGGTACTGGAGGTGTGGGTAGTGCGAACAATCCGAGTGTAAAGAATCCGGATGCGAAGACAGTTCCGTCGAACCAACTGACGACATCGACGAAGACGACAGAGGCGACCGCGAAGACGCCAACTACCGTCGCTGCTGTCACCACCAGTGCTGTCAATGTGAGCACCTCTGCGCCTCTCCCCACTACCACTACTTCGACGAAGTCTGCAGCCAACACTGTTGCTGCACCTGCTGCTACGACCAGCACCAGTTCTGCTGCCACTACAAATACGACGACTACTACCACTACTGCTCCCACTACCCGTGGTACTACTGCCAATACGACGACTACTAGTTCTGCTTCTGCCACCGGTGCTACCACATCTACTCCCGTCTCTGTGAATCCCAATAAAATAGGTGACAAAAGCACGACAGGAGGTACTGGAGGTGTGGGTAGTGCGAACAATCCGAGTGTAAAGAATCCGGATGCGAAGACAGTTCCGTCGAACCAACTGACGACATCGACGAAGACGACAGAGGCGACCGCGAAGACGCCAACTACCGTCGCTGCTGTCACCACCAGTGCTGTCAATGTGAGCACCTCTGCGCCTCTCCCCACTACCACTACTTCGACGAAGTCTGCAGCCAACACTGTTGCTGCACCTGCTGCTACGACCAGCACCAGTTCTGCTGCCACTACAAATACGACGACTACTACCACTACTGCTCCCACTACCCGTGGTACTACTGCCAATACGACGACTACTAGTTCTGCTTCTGCCACCGGTGCTACCACATCTACTCCCGTCTCTGTGAATCTCCATAAAATAGATGACAAAATCGCCACTAGAGTTGCTGGAAATGTACCTGTTGCTACCACAAACGCTTGTGGTTATTCGCCTTCAGATTCTACTGTACCTGGCTTTGCTGCTTCTTCTGGTCTTCCCGCTGATTTTCTTGTGAATTTGTTAAGTGAGATGTCTGATTTGAAATTTCAACTATCACACGTCCGTGGTTTGTCAGGGTCTCATTTTGTTTCCCGTTCGGCTCAAACTGTTCGGGTTTGCATGAAAGACTGTGCTACGGATACTATGCGTATGAACTCTTTGGATTCTTCTTCGGTTTCAAAATCTTCGCTGTCTTGTGCTTATCCTGAATGGAGGGATGTGAATGCATTTCAACTTCAATTAGAGTGTTTAATATTGTACACAAATGATTTTTATCTGAATGAGGTGATTAGTGTAATTTCCAAGAAACCGGAACAACGATTTTCTCATGTCACAAAGACGATGCGTTCGAATAATACTTATGTTGTGACACAAATATTGCCTTCCAATCGCACCTGTGATTATTCAACACACTTTAATGGTAAACATTATTCGAAGCATCCAAATGAATTTGCTGCGACTTTGTTTACTGTATTACAAAAGGAGTATCAAAAGAATTTCAACACTTTCACATTTTCTAATCTTGTTGACTATAGCAAGTCATCACTGCTACAATTTGTTTTACAAACTTATGATATATGGAATTGTGATCCCAATGCTATTACTACTCACAGAAATGGTTATAGTGCACAAAGTTATGGCAACAGTAGTAATGTTGGGAATAGCCATAGTAATAGTGGTAATCATCTCTCAGTTGTTACTACACCATTATATCATAAAATTAATATACGTCAATTCTGTAAGAATTTATTACTTTGTTTAATATGTACCTATTATACTGATAAACAATCCAAAGTGAAATATGTACGAATTATATCAAGTATAGAACAGTCAATTAATAATTATTTACAAACTATAACTGGTAAAAATGCCTATGTAGTGAATGAATTCAATGAATTATGCGATAATAAATTATGCCATGATCATTATTGGTTTAGTCAAATAATTCGTGAAGCTTTTATTCTCTTACAATCATTCCACATTGAATGGATATTTTCTGGGATAGATTTAATCAACCTATCGAATCATACAATACAAAAATTGAAATATCGTTTATCACTGCGTGGTAATGCTACTTTCAATAATAAAACCAATATACATAGAGATAGTGTATTTGAGATAACTTCACCGTCATCAATGAGTTCATTGTGTCGAACTAGTGAATTACACTCATTAATTTATTTAAGAATACTGCATACAAATATTATCTTAACACCGTATATTTTAACTTCAATAACAAAAATATACAATTGTTTTGCCGAGGCTATAAATTATCTCTTATCAATATCGAAATTAAGCAGTATAACAAATCCTTCAATGTATTCTAGCATAAATGAATCAATTACAGATTTTAGTTATGTAACAAGTCAACTGTTACAATTATTTATTCACTTGAAATATTGTCTTTGGGAGTTGATGATACAACCTATTGTAAATACAAATCGATATACAACCTTATTAGATAATTTGTTAAAGTGTATTCATCCACATGTGTTGACACGTTTCACTACAATTGCTTCACCCTCCTCGTCCGCCTCCGCCTCCGCTCCCACCTCGAACAACCCTAGTCATCATCCTCGACATAATAAAGTATATTTATTCATATTAATATTTCGAATATTATTTTCAATGCAATTTGAATCGTCTTGTTTAATGCCGAAAACGCAAACAACCAACTCTCCTGTACATGGATATACCTACAGTGTGTCAATGACAAGTTCTACTCAATGTTCAATTACAGGACCATCAAAAACTGAGTATATTCTACGTGATGATAATCATATCCTGCCTTACCTATTATATCATGTGTATGAAATGTGTTATGCTGAATGGTTGATAACTGGTTTATGGCCTTATCACAAGGTCAAGATATTCGATCAGAACCATAATAATCCCCATCATCATCAGCATCATCATCATCATCATCAGCAGCAGCATCAACAACAACAGCATGCCCAGCTTGCCTCTATAGAAGAAGTGTGGTGTATAGCGTTGAAACAGAAGGAAGACCTGATAAAATTATTATTTCCTGTGAACAGTAATACAACAACAACAACAACTAAGAATAATAATAACAAGCTGATCAATAACATTAAGAGTTGTCTACAACAAATAGTCAACGAGAAAACTTCAATTAATATTAATCTATGGTTACCTGTAAAATTTAATCTAACGGATTTAACAGATACCATGTTTTGGTCACGTGTTCACTTGACCTCACTTATTCAATGGTATGATGGTTATAGTGAAACAACAAATTATGACAGTGTTGTTAGTAAACTGACACGTATACTAAATATTACTACTACAACTTCAGTGAAAACAACCAACAGTAATAGTAGTAGTAATGGTACTAAAACGAATACTAGTGGTAGTAGTGGTGTTAGTCATATGGATAATGATAATAATCATAATAATAATAAGGAGAAGAAAAAGCCCAAAAAATCTCCACGTTGGTTATTGCAAAAGTTGGAGGAGATTAGATCCACTTGGTCATTGTCAGATTATACTAGTTATGATCTAATGTATATTTGGTGTTTAATTTCAGATGACATTCGTTATTGTACTCCAGCTACAAATGCATGTCATCAAGGTGATAACAATAATAATGTTGATAGTAATAGCAACTCAACAAGCTATTATCATCCATCGATGATATTTGAAAATAATTTAATTATGCTAAGAGATGATTTAGTTACACAGTTGAAATTGGCTTATTTTATTGAACCATCCGTGTTATTCACTACTGTGTCGCATAAAACAATATCAGAATATATGATGAAATATTGTCGTGAATTATTGAATTCAAATAATTCCACCATTGAGGTGATTGTTTTGTTTACAAATAATCAAAGAATGATGGTGGTGGGGTGTGTGTATGTGTAAATGTGCACTTTCTGTTTATCAGTGTACACCTCTATCGATTGTGTAATTCATCTGTCTTGATTATGATTATTATTTGGCTAAGCACAGTCATTCACACTTACTGTCATTCTGCAAAAAGAAAATGTGAATAATTTAAGTTTTTCCCTTTCCCACCACTTTTACTAACATTAATTTATATAAGTTAGGTGTGTTGTGTTGTACATTGGGTTTTGTTTTGTGTAAAATCTCTGTGTCACTCAAGAGTTTGTTGTTATTTTTATTGTTCAAATGTGTAAGTTCTTTTATTGGTCAGTGGGAGATTTAAATTTAAATTCCAACGAATAAAATCTGATACCCGTTGCAAAAGAGAAGTGCTTCTTTGTGGCCTATCGATCCGGTGGATAATACCTTAACGTTTGAAACAATGAATACTGGGTTCTAGTCCTACTGGGGACACCATCAGTCACTAGGAATATAAGTACATCCGCCTGATATGTCTTAAATAGGATGATATATGCATCCTAGATTCGACTGTTAGCCCTCCCTCACCCACCATAAGACAAACTACACTAAGCAGTTTTTTATTATTAGGTTGAAATGTGTTGAAGTGACGTTATTATTATGGTGTTAGTGTTCTAACGCGCTAACCTTGTTTTTTATGTTTCATCAATGTGTCCTTGTTTCAATATTTTCGAATGGTTTATGTTGAACGATTCAACTGTGAAAGTGTTACTGTCATCCTAGGAAACATTATCAGTAGTAAAATATTTCTAACAATGAACTTTTACTTTAAATTTGTGAAATCAAAACCACTCATCTATAGAAGGTGAAAATCTTCACAATCATTTTCTAAACGCTGTTTACATTAAACTGGTAAAGAGTTGGCTTTTTTTAAAAGTCTGTAAGAAATTATTTTATTGCACCGTCAGATAAGATTATGCCTGCAATTCATCTACATTGTGTGCTATTTACTAACCACATTGACGCTTACCTTGATTGTTGAGTTTTACTCTAAGTTTTTTCACAGTTTTTCTCAGTTCTTATTAGTTGGTTGGACGGGTTTAAATTTTTTCTAATTTAATGACTACTTTTGTGTAATTCGGTTGTTGAATGGTCTTATATTCGTTTCTATTATTTTAATCTAATTTATCGTGGTTTTTGTTTTGTTGTTGTTGTTTTTCTTCGCTTAGGTCACTGAGGAGCAAAAAGTAATTGAAGATTTACGTGGTCAAGTCGATAGTTTAAAGCAAGAAATTAAAAGGTATGTGTTTATAAACAAACATATAATGCGTGCTTTTCTATATGAATTGGGTTTTTTATACATGTCATTGGAAAAATATTCATAATTTGTATAGTTTTCTTGATGGATTCTATCAGTCGCATTCAAAATACAGAATTAGGCTGTCGTATTTTAGTAGTCTGAATTGCTGCATCTCATATCTACACACTAAGTGAAAGAGGAAACAAATGTGAATAGCGCAGTCGAGGGTGAGGTAGACAGAATATGGAAATCAGGTATTCCAGACAGAAGGGAAGGTAAATTACGAATTTAATTACATCACTGTGACTCAGCAATGTTACAAAAGTGTACTAACTATATCGATTCATGTAGAACTTGTGTCACAACTGACTCAAGTTGGTGAAAGACAAGTGTATTTCTCTAAACGTTTTGTCTGTGAATAATCTACCTCCAAAGGTAAATGAAATGTATGATATTCTGAACCATTTCGACATGGATGTGAGAAATGCATCGCAAACATTAACAGTTTGCCACTCGTAGTGTCTAAAGAATCCTTCAACTAGTCAGCAACTTTTTGTGACCAGATGATGTTTTCCACACAAAAAGATGATCCCAATGCGTATTTTTGCTTTCATCAAAAGCAGACTGGCTTCCCGTCTCTCTGATTCCCAGCGAAGAATAATTCTGCTTATTTATTGTTTTTCCTGTGCTTTGAACTTTCTGTAGAGATTGGATTGATTTTCTGGTATACAGGTTCGCTAGCCTCACACCCAACCCTCCCTCGTTAACCAGGCTTAGAACCGGCTAGAAAACTAGCGAACTAGTAAACTAGTAAGAGAGAATTTGAAGGTTTTTCTTCCATTGCCATTTATTTTCTCCTGTAATTTATCCTATTTTTACCGTCTTCCACGTTCTCATTCTAATATATATACGTACATATAAATGAAAGTGATACACACGCAGTTGCATATGTTTGTGTGTGTGTAAGTGTATGTTTATTCCTAGAGGATGCTAGTATTTTGGTCTTTTTTTCTAACATAACATAACAGTTGTCACGATTTAGGCTCGATGTTTTTTGTCCTCCATCATCAAGCATATCGTAGATTTGTTTAAGCTACTAACAGTATTTATCGATAGTAAATGTTAGTTGCATATTTTTTCCCTTTTATTTTTAACATTTGCATCTTTCATAATGGACCATAGATACATAATTTTTATCTCTTATTTTTCCATAATTTCATGCTAAACAAAGTTCAGAGTTATTTAATGTTGGTGACAAGATTTATGTGTGTATGTGTGTGTCTATATGCCTACTATTTAGTTCATCTTCATAAGGTATACAGATACGCTTTGCGTACGAATGCAAACAAGCACGAAACCTAGGTCAGGTAGGACATCCTACCGACTGCCCTCTGTGATCTAACACTGGTTCAGAATGTATTGTAATGTCAAGTCATCCCGCAAGGTGGCCACACTGCCTACTTGACTGACAGTTAGTACTGACACCAAGGTCTAGATAAACGATTTCGTCAGGAGACCAATCAGTGTTAAATTCTAATTCATTTATCTTCCTTGATAAGATTGGTATTTATGTGTGCATACTGTTTGGTGAATACACTTAAATGTCATTATACACAAAAGTGACTTTTGTGATTATTCAAAGTGTGATGTGTTATTTGAACAGATTGAGGTTACTGTGTGAAAAACAGTCGTCTACCCTACTTATCCCCTTAAAGTTTTAAATGACTAATCTCGTGTAAGTGATCAAGTTGATTAGCAAAAGAAGAGGTAAAAAGTCTATTCTGTTAAATTACCTCAAAACTAGATATAGAAATGATCCAAAACAGGAATTTATTGAAGTGAATAATCGCTTTCGATAGCTTCTTCATCAGGCTTTGCTGTTCCAAATCCATTAAGAATAGCATAGAATTATATCAGAAATTCTAATGTGATACAAGTACGAGATTGAATAATAATAATAGCAAGTTAGTTTTAATTATCGTTAGAATTAAAAGTCGATCTGAACGAAGAATATTCTTTTCAATACCTCCTTCTCTTCAGGTTCTTACAATTATAATGTATAATATTTGTTGTCGTTACAATAATGGCCAGTTATGCGGCGGATACTTTTTTTACGTAGAATAACAAATTATTTATGGCCAAACTTGGATTGATGATTCTTCTTCTCACCAAGAGTGCTTCTCCCTCCCCCTTTACCCTCTTGGTTTTTTTCTTTCTTCGCTTATTATTGTGATTATTATTATTATTAACCATCATTTATACTCTTCATGCAAACATTCTCTCAATACTATCGAATTTTCCATTTCTACTATCCGGACTTATTATCACCGTTATTATCTCTTTTCTCAATATATACCTGCACCTGTTTCATTTCACACATTCGTTATTTCATTATGAACCTCTCATTGTAGTTTTACTACCTCCTCTATAATACATACCACTTTGTACTAGCCACTCACTCACCTGACACCTTTTATAACCTTGAACTGACCTGTCAATTTTCCTACCCCAAACTCTACAAATCTATTGTGACTAATCACCACCATTATCTCCCATTTTACAATATTTTGTAACTGATTTCAGCCCAGCACGTTTGTCACATAAATACGACTATTTATATTGACACTCCATAACTAATCCGTTATTTCACGTTAAAAATGTATCCGCTGCATAACTGGCCTTTATTGTAACGACAACAAATATTATATTTTATAATTGTAAGAACCTGAAGAGAAGGTGGTATTGATAAGAATATTCTTCGTTCAGATTGACTTTTAATTCATGATATGGGAATATTTCACACTATAAAATCTTATAGTTGTAATACTAAATTGAACACCAATATTACAAAGTAAATGAATGTATAGTAATAAATTCTCATGAGTCATGTTCATATTAAAACACATTTAAAATGTATAGTCATTAAGGGCGTGAGGTGATATAAGATAAAACAACTGAATGACCCGTTTATGAATTCATAATCAACAGAAGTATAGATTTCATGGGCTGGTGTAATAGATAATACGAATACTACTACTGTGCGTCGGTGGCACAGTGGTTAGGACTCTCGCCGACCATGCACATGGTCAGGGGTTCGATCCCCTGCCGGCGCACACCCGATATCTATGGTCGGCCTGAATTTGGGCTACCGATATCCATGCTGAAAATTCCATACTTGTACTGAAAATACGGTGTGGAATCAAGCTGTAAATCAAAAAAAAAAATGAAAAAAACAAACAAATAGGATACACAAAATATAGGTTTGAGGGGTGACAAATAACAATAATCATAATAAAATTTGGTCTTAACATAATGACAATATAAGTGAACGATCGTCAATTAATATAGTAAGAAAAAAGGTTCCTATTTTTTTTTTAAATTTTTTTTAGTGTGAATACATTAACAAACGTGAGAAGTATTAAGTAAACTAAGGGTAACAAACTTAATAAGAAAGGTCACGAAATCGTGAATGTTTGCAATAAATGTTTATCAGTAAAACTAGGGTAGAAAAAAAGAACAGGATAGGGATTTAGCGTGTTAATTATCAATATTTTTCGAGGATATGTTGATCTTATCATAGGCTAAGGTAATCAAAGTCGCTTGACACATTTCTTCTGCATACAGAGAGATAAGGTTTTCCGATACTGATTGCTACCGCTTCGGCCATCGGTACCAGAGACAGTTGAGCTCCTCTTAATAGGTTATTGGGAAGACGATAGGTGACCACTGCCTTACTTATATACTCGATTGCTCCTTTCCCGTCATTCCCATATGCATTTTTGGATTTCACTGAAATAAAATAAAACTTATCACTATATAGAAGACTGTAGAGCAAACAGAACCTCAGTAAGGAAAATCCAACTCTTATTCTTAAAGCTGCTACGTTATTGGTTCTAAATTCATATTTGAATAAACACACACACACACACACGTATCAATATTGTAACAATATAATATAGAGAAGCTTCACTGTTTGCCAGTATCATTTTAAAAATATATAAAATATTCACATATCGCTTTGTTCAATGAATTCATTTCAGTAGGTTAAAACACCTACCAGACTAATCGATATAGACCAGAAGCTTGATGGAAATATTGTTTTTCTTCTTTCCCATGAATTAGATATTATTTGAGGAGTAAAGAAATATTTAAATATTTTTTTCACTGATTATTTCTAAGGCATTTTCTAACAGAAAACTAATTAAATGTATCGAGATAGACTTGTTCTACCGTTTTCAGCCCTAAGCAAGAGGAAAAATTAAAATACTAAGGAGATTTTCCTTATACTCTGTGGCAGATTTGTCTAATATTAAAATGATACCAATGTTAAGTGCCTGGAGACATTCTACTGGTACTCTGACTGCAGCACTGGATGACATGGATTCAAATCTTCCAGAGAACGTCAGTTCTCATCATGGTCACAGATACGTCTTGCTGATGGGTGCCAGTAAGCGTGAAACCTATATCCAGAACATCCTATTGATCGACTAATATTAATTCGGAATTTTATCATGATGGCGAGTCACCTAGATTGGTTACCCCATTGTAAACCTGTGTAATAGGATTCATTCAATACCAAAACTAAAGGCTACACATATCTTAGTGACTAATCGGTGTAGAATGGATAGGTGTTATTGCACCTAAATCAACCCCAAATAAACGCAAAACTTATGCCAGTCAACGGTTTACTAATACTCTCAGAGTTTATTTCCTCATTTTATCAAAAAAAGTTTAGTGTTGTTATTTTGTGAGTGATTAACATTTTAATCCGTAAGACAGGTTCCCTCCCATTTCTGGCTTCAATTAAGGCTCAAATCTTGAACTTTTGAAAGTTAAAAGTATTCATAAGAGTGTTGCTTAATGTTAATCGTTGTTTACTTGTACTTTCCCATTGTTGATATCTCTGGACGTAAATTATTTATCTTAAATGGTATTTGGGGTAGTTTAAATAGATGCACCTCCTCAAAATAGATTTCACTACTAATCACTGCTAAACCAGTTGTATTAGATGCTTTTGATTGGACACTAGTTAGTAACTAGTGTAATACGCGTATATTCCTCTGTTTGGTGCAGACTGAATTCTATCAGTCAGTTGGCAATGTGGCCACAATTCTAGGTGGCTCGCCATCACTGTACACTTCGAATTGTTGATTTGCATGGTTGGATGCAATCGGCAGGAAGCCTTGGACCTAGGTTTCGTACTAGTTGGCACTCACCAGACAACAAGGCGTGTCTGCAACCTTGAAGGAACTCATGTCCCTAGTGCTGCAGTACTGGGGGACGCGGGTTCGAATCTCAGGAGGGATATGGGTCCCTTCAAGGATGCAGATACGCCTTTCTAACGTGTGTCAACTAGCGCGAAACCTAGGTCCATGGCTTCCTGTCGATTGCCTCCAGCCATGTAATAGTGTGTGTTAGAGTTGGTAATTTGAACTACTGTTTATTTCAGATACAATGGCTTACAATAATCATAAGTTAGGTTTACTGTTCTTTTCAGGAGATAGGGAAATATGTGACATTTTAGTCTTTATTACTTCGCTTTCAACTTTACTTTCTTGCTACCTTCGAATCTGTATGACAAATGTTTTTCTTTTCCTAAACAAAATGTATATTACTTATTATTGCATAGATTACAACGTGGTACATCTACTGTTGAAGAACGAAATGTCAGTGGAAATGTTGGTGAATGTAAGTCAGTCTTTATATATATATATATATATATATATATTTGCTACGAGCATATCAATGAAATTTCAATAAGTGTATATGATAAATTTAATTATCCTCTCCTTAAGGTAATCACTGAGTACATTTTATATATTTTATTAAGTGAACTTTAGTCAAATGTACAATGTATCACATGTACTTTATCTTCTGTTTGATTATTATTCTTGTTAGTTTTAAAACGTTTGTCATTTTATTGATGATAGTATTAATTTTGCGTTTAATAAACTTATATTTGACGGATATTCCAAAGGAAATGTGATTCATCTTCAAATAAATAGCATTACAGTAATATTACAACAATGTACTTTAAATGGTTGATATAACACCGTCATCTCGTTCACTGTTGTACTTCAGATTAAGAAAATAATTAGTTATTCGTTGAAGGATCATGGAAACTAAGGGATTACTGAAGTATTGTTTCATTCTAGTTTTAGCGAGGTGTCCTAACTGGTAGGGTCTATCAAGTCGGTTGTAAGGAGTGATACTGTCCTATTGCATTAGCTGGCTGAGCCCTATATACCGTGAATCGTCACGATTTAGAATTCATAGGTAATTGGCTTTCTACCAGTGGCTGAATCGTCAACGGGATCGCCCTGCGATATTAATGTCCTTGGTTCAGTACCTGATGGCGTCATGGATGTCCACTGCTGAAAAATCTCAAACTAGGACAAGGGAGCTGTTCAGTACACTCTGGTTTTTAGTGGCTCTCTAACTGCAAATAGACAGTTAATCCATTTAAAATAAATAAATTTACTATTTGTTGTTTTAGCTTGAGAATGATATAATTCATGTTTCTAAAATATATGTAGACTTTATTTTAGAAAATGTACAGTGTATCTGAATTTCAATGAATAACCTATGACCCATTACTTCACGCGTTCAGGTAGTTCGAATTTGCCCGTGACTAACTCTCATGTTTACATCATTATGGTCAACGACAAAAAAGGCAATGGTTACATGTTTAGGTAAATACATATAAGTAATATTTTTGTTCAGCTGCATTTTTTTATCAACTGCAAATCTCTCAGTTATTTGTCTGAAGGTGGAATCCAGGATGCAAGTTCTGTCTTATTTGAGATGGTATAGTTGGTTCTACGCGTATTCCAGTGAGTGATGGTATTATCACTGAGACAGTAACCCAGCATCCATAGTTCCAAACATAAATCCATTTCTCACAATTGTTTATTTATTGTTTAGAGAAGTGTTGTTATGTTCTACTGGTAATGTGATTACCACCTCTATTACGCAATCTGTATGAACTGCATGTTACGTAAATATTTTTCAGAGAATATTACAACACCTAATAGGCAATCTTGTTGGTTTGCTGTTAGGATTATGCTATTAAGTTAGTTTTATCCAGTTAAATTTACTTCATTCTATGAATAATGCGATAGGAACACCTTTTGCAGGGTCACCGGAATTCATTGTATTTTCATTAATTTGATGTAATAAATTTAACTGAATAGCCAATTTGTTTTATAAGAGTAAAATAACTTCATACTTATAGAAAATTTTCAAGCAGTACTATCTAACGTGATAGAATTTGTGTGCTTTCTATTCACTTTTTTACATAGTCCATCTATCACATAGTTCACCAAGTCATTTCTATTCAATGGATCCATCTGATAGTATAGAAAAACTTTCTAAAGATAAATCGAATGGCTCGTACAATCCTTCATATTACAGTACTCAACTACAGGAACTACGTCAAACTGGTGACTTAGAATTAGTTCGTGCACATCTCAGCCTATCGGAAAGACGTCGACGTGAACTTGAAAGACGGATAACTGAATTAACTGATGAATTGGCACGTTCTCGAGCTGAAGCACGTTCAGCAGAAACTAGTCTTTCTGCTGCTCGTCGAACTGAAGCAGCCTTAAGACGACGTCTTCTTGTAGCAATGGATTCACGTAATTCACCAAGTGGAAATTATGAAATGAATGCATTACATGGTTCACGTGAAATAACTACTAGTGGAAGTTCAGAAATGTTAAATATTGTAGAATTACAAGCAGATGTAAGTGATGCATAATAACAGATCGAATTCTTTTTCAATGAATTATTTTGAATATATTTGCATATTTTTACTCTTATGTTTGTTATATCTTTTTCAGTATGACATGAAATGTGTAGAAATTTTTCACAATGTAAATTTGTTTGCGATGTGTGTGTGTGTAGTCAAGGAAAATCTAAGTACTCAAATCATTCATCATTGTCAAAATGAGTGATGGTGTTTTGCCGTTGTCTGTTGTCAGTACTACTGACTTACTCTATGTTATGAACGCATATCCTATGAGTTCAATGCGTACACTGTAGTGATTAAAATTTTCACTTTATCCTGGAATATTGAATTTCCCAGAATCTTCAAAGTTCACTATATGTTTATCAATACCTTTTTTAGTATGGATAAATAAAACTGTCTTTAACGCTAGATACTATTAATTGATATGTGTAGTTAGGTGCTACTCACATCAACCAGTAGCACTGTGTGAAACAAGCCCACAGCAATTTCCACTTGTATTATTATCATTACCTTAGCTGCTATCATTACTATTATTTCCATTTAAATGCTGCATGTTTTCTATTTTTCTTTATATTAACCCTATTGTAAATGTAGAAAAATTTTCTGTGTGATTAATTTTATTTATAATTTGAGGAAATTAGATGCAATATTGTGATTAATGCTGAAAATTCCATTCTGTATCACAAGTACTGTTTTTAGAATAAAGTAAATCATTATTATTATTGTTATTACTAGCTACCGATGTCAGCTCATAATGAAATCCTGTAAGCAATCAATCAAAGCCCTACAAACCAATACTTGAATATCAATGAGATGCTCACTAGCCACTGGCCCTATTCATTTAGGTAGTCACCTGGGGTTCTAGTGGGAAATCGTGACCAGTAGGGTACAGCAGGTCGGGTGTGAGGACAAATACTCGCCGAAAACATTGGCTAATCGATGTCAGTTCATGATGAAATCCTGTAACCAATCATTCAAATCCCTACAAAGCAATACTTACTAGCTAGACTGAAATTATATAAACACTGGACGGCTGTTTCCATTGTTTGAAGCCTGCCTCTTCAGCGATCTACTCGGTTACACTCAGCTCAGACAGTCAAATCAGTTCAAGCATCTGAATTCTGTCTAACTGCTTAGCGTATTGGTGGTAGAAGGGATTAAATAAGTGATTCACAAAGTGATTTCAGTTTCCCAAGGGAAACTGCGGGGAAATTTGAGCTCGAACTGGGCAAAGTGCATATCACTAATTTTAATTTTTAATTCGATAACTCTTCTTACATAGTTAGGATATCATACAGTCAGAGATAATTACACTTGTGGGTAGTGTAAATTATTCTGTAGACCTGTTAGCTTCGCTCATTCTTTCTTCTCAGTGTACGAAGGTGTCTCACTTTAGAGCTCATAACATCATAAATTCTAAGATAATATATATATATATATCGTATATATATCGTATATCTCTCATTGTTAGAAGCGGGGAACTTATCTGTCTTCCATTATGATCTAGTTTTATCCGATTGGAAAAGAAATTATTAGTTTATTTCATCTAAAAACTTCACTATTAATTAACTTGAGTCATCATTACATCATCATCATCATTGTATCTTTTAGGCGTTTATATCAACCTGATGTTATTTTTATTCATAAAATAGGACAATGAATACTATGCTTGGTTTCTATTAAATACTAAAGCTAATGATGATTCATTTAAGAAGTAGTATTGATAATTCCTTAGTTGAATTTACGTTGAATACAATGATAGTAACAGTTTTACAATTTAGTCAAGTTTGCTTACTTTTTTTGTTCAAGCAACAAGTATAAATTCAAAGAGCCATATTGTCAATAGGGTAAAAGTTGTACAAGAGCTGACTCGTGTGTTGGCTCAGTAGCAGAGTGGATAACGCTTTGGCCTTTAAAACGAAGTGTGCTGGGTTCAGCTCTCAGTAGGACCACCGTCAGCATCAGTAGGAATGCAGGTAGTAAACGCATGTCCTAAATTCCATTATCAACCAAATATTACATGCATTAAGGTTCAGCTTCTTAAGTATCACTGATGTGCATCAGTACTGTGTCTATGACATATAACAGACACATTCATCATTATTATCGTATTTCGAGTTAAAATAATAAACTAGACAGTATTGTTTATATAAGATTATGTAGTTTTGTTCTGTTATCTTGCCACAATGGATAACGATAACAAAGGTTGAATAATATTTGCTTACATATTACTGATGGTTATGGTTTTATTTTTGGCGTGACGTATATATGTTTCGTGTTTCGTTGTATTGCAATTAATACTATTACTATTACTATTATTATAGCTACTATTATTATTACTTCTCTTATTGTTGTCTAGATTATTAAACTACAAGCAACAAATGCATCCTTAAATGAAGCTGCTTTACTAGATCGTACTAGACTACATGATCAAGCTATGCGTATAGATCAATTGGAGTCAGAGCATAAAGCACTACTCGATCGAATTTCATGTCTACAAGCAGCTGAAACTGGTGCACAACGTGGTATTGTCCGCCTACAGGTGAGTGCTTTATTCGGCGTAAATTATATACACATATTAATGTACAGATAATTTTTTTCTTCATATTTTTAATTCATTATTTCACCAACATATTGATTGCCTCTTCTATTCATTGCATTAAATTTATGAAAACAATTCATTTGACAAAGCTGGATAAAATTTAAATTACATGAGAATTGTTTGATTAAAAAACGTTTCGCTTATGGTTTTGCATACAACTTTAACAACTACAGGATTTAGGATGGCTATCCTTATATCCTTTATTGCTAGGCATTTTTACTTCAGTGTGTAAACTTCTCTATAGGCCTGTCTGTCTTTGAATTGATTACTTTGAGTGATTTTCAGTTGGATGAATAGAGTTTTTGTCAAATAAGTAAACATTATTTTTTTACATTTTTCTTACTATTGATCATTTGAATGAATGTAGTGTTTGTAGGAATTTCTGTACAGCTGCTGTCAGTCCCGTCAATCTTTTAAATCACTCAATCACTACAGCAATAAATAAAACAATTATATAGATCATTGACGAGTAACTCTTCAGTGTTTCTATAAATCTGTCAAGCTTTCGCTTGTAATCTATGTCAAATGAGTCAGAAAAAATAGTCATATTCGACAAATGCAGTCATTTCTGCCTAAGTACTATTTTCATTTGGTTGTTTATTTTTGAAAAAAGGTATTCATCTGCAGGACTGTCTACTACTAGATTAGTTGACGACTTGATTGCATTTATTCTTTTCATTCATTCGGACTCTACACTGTACAAAAATAAGTTTGTTAGAACAATAAAGAGGAATAAATACAATGATATTTAGGAGGTATGTGTTAGGAAAGCACTGTATATAAAACTGAATATTTTAAAATATTTACGAGTAAGTCAGACAGTTCGATCATGAAATACCCACCCCACCGTAAATGTAAGGACACTTGAACTTCAGGGTTTTTCCAGTTACTTACTGAGCTACGAGTGCAAGTAAGTTTTAAACTAGGTGTTTTTCGAATTGACTGATAGGTATATTAATGCCGATTTTGTATTTCACAAATGCTACCTCACTTGTTATTCTTAGGATCAAAACATTTATTGGTTTTGTCTGTATATTTACGTTCATTGTATTCCTGTGCTACTTTTCTATCTCCACCTTTTATGAAGTCTGGTAAAAGTGAATCGCTGCACTTTTGTGCAAAGTTCTACGTTGATAATTCACTTTGGTTCAGCTTCTGTTTCAGCTATGAGATTTTATTTGATTACTGAGTCAGGTAGGGAGATGCACACTTCCGGGTTGGGGCCCTCGGGACTCTAAGAATCAATGGCTGGAGACAATAGGTGACATGGCTCAAAATCGTTGTCAATGGCGCAGATGTATTCAGTCTCTGCAATCTTTCATATTCCTTTCTACCATTACTCATTCTGTTTCACTCTTATACTTATCAAAACTCTATTGATTCTCTTCACTCATTTTCTTGTCTACCTTTGTGTGCTATTTGGAACGTGGCAACTCGAACTGCTGCACTTCGGTGCCAAGTTCTATGTTGAATTCAGACAGAGACAGACATAACTATCTCCTAAGAACTGTCTTCATTTTTTGCAATAGTTTTATCATTCTTCATTTAAAATAAGAATTTGTAGTTTTACTAAGTGAACTACTCTGTTATATAAACATTCTTTTCTCATGGAATCATTATAGAAAGAAGACTCGAATCTTCTCGTTGAGCTTCATTTTAATATACTTAAGTTTTAGTATATCTAAACACTTAACTAATGATTATGATTCACAGAATTTTATTGAGATATCTGCATTGACCTACTGTTTTCATTATTTCTACTTCCATTGAGATTAAGGAATTTTAAATCATCTTTCTTGAACTCTTGAACTCCTTGTTGTTGATTCAACTGGACCGAAACGAACTGTTTCTGTTGCCGTATAGGCTACTAGAGTGGACACCTAAACCACTTCTTTACAGTTAAGTCAACAATGGAAGCCCATACGTCTTAGAAACGGCAATCTCAAAGACCTTAGCACTAAGGGTTTCCCTCACGAATCAATGGCCCTTTTGGATATTACTTGACAGTCTGAAACAATAGGCATTGAGTTCAAGCCTCACTGCAAAGCAGGCACATCTAGCGAGTACTGTCGCTCACTGCTAACTATCACTTATTATTAAGTAAATACTGACCTTTTTTTCTATTATGGCTGATATTATTTTTCGGAAGCTAATAATTTACAAAATTCATCATCAACCTGTAAGTTTGGTAATGAAAATGCTTGTTGTTCATAACTAATCCAAATTGCTATTTCTTTCTATCCGTTGTTATTAATATTCTTTTATGCTAATGCTATCAATGTCACCGTTATGTTTACAACTGTCAAACACTTTTCAACAATTATCATTACAGTTTATCCTTATTCCTTATAGTTGCTTGTGTATTGTAAATTTTTGCGATTCAACTATTATTGTTAATATTCATATCAAGTTTATTCTATCTCAAATGATTTCATATACGCTTTGTGAACTCTACTCACTCTACACTCATCAATAAAGATTAACTTGTAGCTTTAATGTTCGGTGACTGCGTGTGCATAGAAAATCAAGAGTAGTGACACAATGTTTATAAGAATGATGTTGAAGAACAAAGTGGCAGGATATGAGTCGATTTTACAATGTAGTATAGTTTTCTTGTTCAAAACAAAAATAATCTGCCGTATAAAATCAGTAGTGGAAAATCTTTTCTTGCCTATATCTCCTGTAGAGTTTGTTATATTTTTTTTAAAAAAACAAGCAACAAATATCAGTAAATCAGGATTAAATGAATTCATCAAATTTTCCCTGGAACTCATTAGCTCTGTACACTCTACATACAGCATACAGTATACCTATACAATGAGATGCAAGACTTATAAATAAATTAGAATGAATCGTTCATAGCAAAACAAATGGTGAGATTCATATAAGAATAGAATTTAGTCCCTGTGGCAGAGTATAATTCCATTGTAGAATAATTCTACTTGATAAAAACACACAGTAATACAGTGTTACCTATCGAGAATATTTCAAGAACAATTTATTGCTCATAATCATTTCAAGGTGCTCGAAACATCATCATTTAATAATACTACCATACCACTACTATGTACCTTCTCGGGTAAAATTATTCTGTGGTGGAACAGTGAAAATATTTTACAGGTCACGTTCAGACAGATATAGGCTAGAAGAGCTGGAAGAGATTGGGAATTAAGTTTATAATGGTTTACGGCTCAGCTACGTCATTATAATAAGTAAGGAGTTATCAAAAGGTGAACTTAAAAATTCTAGGAGTCATAAAAAGAATTTTAATAATAAAACTAATCACGGTAATGGTACAGAGGAAGGCTAGTTTTTATTAAGGTAAGAACAATCATAAGGGGTGGGATAAAATAAAAAATAGAAATAATAACTGGTAACGAAGTAAAAGGCATTACCATGGTAGACTCAAAGTCGTCACCATTTCGTGCTGTGCATACAGAGTAGGTTTATAGGCGGTGATTGCACAGGTCTCTGCAATCACAACCGTCTTCCTGTTTGTCCGTCGACAATGGTAAATAATAACAGCTTTGTTGATATTAGATAGTTGGGTGCAATCAGCAGGAGGCTTTGGACCTAGGTTTCGTGCTGGTTGGCCCTCGTCAGGAAGGCGTATCTGCAACCTTGAAGGAACTCATGTCCCTTCTGAGATTCGAACCCGTGTCACCCAGTGCTGCAGTCAGAGACGTTAATACTGAGCTGTTCGGGCTTGCGATTGACCTCCTGAAGGGCTGTATTGCATACTTTTGATTGAACACTAGGTTGGAGATACGCCTTGCTGACGAGTGCCAACTAGTACGAAACCTAGGTCCAAGGCTTCCTGCCGATTGCATCCAACCACGTAATATCAACAATTCAAAGTGCACAGTGATGACGAGCCACCTAGAATGGTGGTCACATTGCAAACGTGACTGATAGAATTTAGTCTGCACCAAACAGAGGACTAGACACATTGCACTAGTTACTAACTAGTGTCCACTCAAAAATAACAGCTTTATTCTGGACAAAATATCTACACAGTGTACAAATTTCTCAGTGTAATTCATTGCATAATATTTTCTTCCCATCCAGAATCTTCAAGTAAATAACAATTTGTATTATTTTATGTGACGCAATGCTGTTCGACCTGAAGCATAGACCAATCCCTTATGATATATTCCGTCTGTTTCCGAGAAATGTGCACTGGTAGTTTGAAAGCTAATCAATATGTGACTGGGTTCGATTAGCAACTGAGTGATATAAATGAATGGTTGAAACAATAAGAATTGGAGAAAGTAATATGCATGTTGTTAGATGGGAATTCAGGAAGCTCAGTGACTTAAACATGCCTCCAATAATTTAACAGTGACAAAAACTAACTGTTTAATACAGTGATAACTCAAACGTAATCCATCAATCTCTCCTATCCTTTCCTACCTCAACTTGAAGAGTTCTAGCGAAATTTGATGGATTCATTGAATTCTGACTCATCAACCCTTGTTGCTTGTTTTAAATTCATACTGGGAAATGTTTCCAATTTGTTATATCTGCTTGTCTTAAATATCAATTATTCAATCGTCTATTTATCTTTTATTTTTATTGATTGGCAGTCAATTCCATGAAAGACTTGCTTATAATTTTGTTTTGATTTTTTGATTCTCTTCTCACAAAAGTGGTGAGAAAGATTTTTAATGAAACTATATGACGTCTAGATATTTTGTGTGTCCTCTCCATTTTTATGGTATCTATTCACCTAAAATTTAAGTAGACTTTAGTAAATATTTGCTCACGAATCATCAACTATGCAAATGTTAATGCGTTTTTGTGATAGAATCTGCAGTGCTTTTATCTGTTGCCTATGTAGATAACAATAATAAGGCGAAAAGAGGATTGTATATGTCTGAAATCTGCATTAAATTTTTTAAAAATATGTTAATAATAATACTTTATTTATTTTTAATCCC